GCTGGGTTGTGAACTGAAGTCTCATATGATTCAGTCCAGTGACCTCTTTGTTAGAACACATTTCCTAGAGTAAAATTCAAAGTCTAGTTTTAGAGAACAGAGGAAAATACTTTTTTCCTCACTCATAAACCCTCATGGTCTGAGTTATTTTATGTGATGGCTAGAGAGGTACTTTGCACAGAGCGGGATGGCATTTCAGTGTCCACCTATGTTCTTCAGAAAGAACACAGTGAAAACTGAGAGCCTCATGTCTTACAAGCTTGAAGACCTTTGGTATCATTACTTACCAGTGTACTAGATGTAGAAAAGAAAATCTACGGAAATGTAATTACCCAACTGGCTGTATCCCTTTAAAAGTTGAGAAAGACAACTCTAGAGGGTTTGTTTGAGATGATGCTACAGATGCATCTTTAACTGGCCAGTTAGTGGTAGGCATCCAACATGCGTCAGCTGTCATGGACAGCTTCCCTATAAAACAATTAAAAAGTCTGTGAATTCCTGGTGTTACCTATAATTAGACCACAGACAAAAGGAAGAGCCTGAGAAATGCATCTGCCTGATGATAATATGAAACTGGAGTTGAAACTCACAACAGAGACAGTAATTAGTATGGGTATTGTTCCAGGTAATTTTAGACAGTATTCTCGCCACCCAGTGAAATGTGATGCTGTAACCTGCAACCTGAAGGAGAACAGCATGTGCAATATATAATGCTTTTCAAAATTATGATCCATTCTCCTTGCATCTCCATTAAGTAGGATATAAAAAAACCCTCTCACCCTGGTAGATCCCTTGGCATGAGGAAAAAAAGTGTCCCTGCCCATGGCAGGGGTTGGAACTGGATGAGCTTTAAGGTCCCTTCCAACCCAAACTCTTCTGTGATTCTGTGATCCTGTGAGTGGGAGAGATGTGGTGGTATTGAGCCTCGGTGTGCTTTAGGTCACAGGGATGCTCCTGTCTCTCTTATGTAAAACAAGTGGAAAACACTATTCTGTCAGGTAGCAATTTTGTCCACTCCACTCTGCGCACCCTTTAGCTCAGTGTAACCAACAGCATCATTGAAAGATCATGGGGAAACCATGTCTGTGGTCACTGATGTAGTCACTGACTGGGGCTTATTGCCAGTATAGCCCTGTGAATACCAGGAAACCTTTCTGCTTCTTAAGTATAAGATGATGCATGTACCATTTGATAAGTGATTGCCTCCTCTTTCCTTGACTTTCCGTCTCCTCCCTCCCAATCACACGCTGTGATGACCAAGATCCAGCACGAGGATTGTATGTACTGGCATTCTTTATGTTTAAAGATTACACAACAGGAAAAGGAGTTTAAAATTATAGGGTTGTTGTTTGTTGTATTTTGTTGGGGTTTTTTAATTATAACATTTGTGTCCTTTTTCTTTAATAGTAATTTAATAACATCATATTTCTATGGCTTTCATATATTTTCCTTACCACCAAGCATGAGGGCTAGCAACTCGCTGTCCTTCTGAATGAGTCTTGCAATATAGATGAATCAAAAAACCCAGGCTTCTAAACAAAACACCAAGAATAATGAATCAAAATATAAAAAGAGGTATGGCAGTGTTACGAGAGAAAGTAACATTTCTCAGGGATATCAGTCCAGCACATTCCTGGATATCTCTTTATGAAGTCCAGCCGTTTAGAAAGAGCTGCTTTAGTCATATGCACAAAGATGTACTACTGCTCATCCCCTCTGCAGCCTAGCAAGGGCAGCTGGTAGATCCCTTCTGTCACATTATGGGCTGTCAGAAGCAGCCCTTGTCTGACTCTTGGCATAATTTTCCATACTGAGCTTAGCATAAAAATTAAAACTTGTGCTTTGCTAGCACTCTCATTAAGCGCTTCACCTGAATTCAGTGCTCCAGGTTTACAGCCCCACAAAGACCTCTGAGCAGATCAAGTTTCCTAACATTCTGTAGGTCTCCTTACATGGTGGTGCCTTGGACAAAAGCACTGCCTTAGAGTCTTGCCCCATTCAACATATGCGAGCACGACTTTGTTACCATAGAGACTGCCTGCTTTCACCATTCACTTTGAAGGCAGTCGGCACATTTTGTGGGGATAAAGAGGTTTTTAGCAAGAAAATGTCCAATCCCTAATGTTGATAAAAGAATATCCTCTTCTTTGGCCTTATACTGGAAATTGTGTGAATACAAGGAATCTATCCCAGGCACTTCAAAGAATACAGCAACACAGATAAAAATAATTGTACTTAAAACATAACATCCACCTTTTAATGAGTAAATAAGGAGCAAAACAATGCAGAAGAGGCATTAAGAATTCATGAGGCAGTACTGTGAAATGTAGAAAGTCTGTAATATTACAGAAGTAATAAATGAGAAAGAGAACACACAGCAAAGACAAAGAGTATTTAAATTCAAAACTTTATCTTAAGGACCATCAACAAGTGGACAACATGTTAGGACATAAATCTTATCTGAGGTCAGAGGCTGCTTCTCAAAACAAGGCGCCGAGTGATCATTATGAACGCAGGTTCAGTGACAGAGGAGCCCTAGTTTATTATCACTAACATGATACTGTTTTTATGAAAGGTAACTGGGTGTTAATACTAAGTCATTTTCATCTATTTGAGAGAGCACATCTCTTTCAAATACAAATTGTCTTGTTCTACAGAAGGCAAATGAATATAGCTACTGGGTTTGTTGCCATTCACTTTGATGGCTCCAGTGCACCTGAGCTTTATCCCATCTCATTTCTTCTGGCTTTCCTCTCCTCCATTTCTTCAGTCACTAGTTCCTTTTGGAAGGATTAAAGTCACCCTGTACATGTGATGTCTTTATTTTCTACCTGTTATTTCCAAAGATACCACATAGATTCTCCTGTTCTATTCTGCTTTTAGACTGTCTTGCCTGTGAGGGTGGTGCGGCACTGACACAGGGTGCCCAGAGAAGCTGCGGCTGCCCCATCCTTGGCAGTGTTCAAGGCCAGGTTGCATGGGGCTTAGAGCAACCTGGTCTAGTGGAAGGTGCCCCTGCCCATGGCGGTGTGTTAGAACTCAATGACATTTGAGGTCCTTTCCAATCCAAACCATTCTGTGATTCTAAGATTCTTATCTTACATTATGCCAAGCAGTACCTTTACTGTTTAAAATGTTAAACCTCAGTAAAAGAATTTGTGATAGTCTAGTCTGAGGTACCACAATAAGACACCAAGTTTGTACATGAAGAACGAGTGCCTAGCCTTGCTGTAATTTTTGTGAAGATGTCTATTATCTTTCTGATATGGGTCTTTATTGATTTTTAAGGTGACAAAGTGCACTTGACCATCGTCTGGTTTCTTGGTCTTGCTTAGTTTTGAACCCAGTGATTAGTATCTGGCCAAAACCATGTTTCCTGGATACTACTCAAGCCCAGAAGAGATCAGTGGGAATAGGTGGATTTGTGATATATTAAATAATGAAGAGAAAGCTACTGGAAGGAAATCTTGCATTCCTAGACTCCACACATACTGGAGTATTGGGAAGAGAAAAGTGTGGGGAAGGGGACAGGATTGAAGGGCTCTGTCCTCCCAGATCATCTTTCCATCTCCAAGTGTCTCAGATGTTTTACACAGATGAAAAGTATTGCAGCTACAAGATGCAAGTCTGTCAGAGACCCACCGTGCATCCCCACTGGCTTCAGCTGCTGAAAGACCAGTTCCTTTCCTCCTCATTTCAGCTACAGCATCCTGCCTCCCCAAATCTGAAAGGCAAACCCTGCCTCTCATCTCAAAATATTCAAGTTACTCTCCTGAATTAGGCTTGCTGTAAGCAATGAAGCACAGATGCTTTCCTTTAATTGTCCTTTTTAAAATCCATATGAAAGCATAATACTTAATTAAAAGCTTGCCAATCTGAAATCACTGTGGAAATGAGGCAATAAATCCTTCCAGAAATGTGTCCAGACTAATCCCAGATGCAAAGCAAGGAGAGTGCTAGGCAGGAATCTGATTTTTGCCTAGCCTTTACCACTGATTCACTGCAGTGCTTTCTGCAAGCCATTTATTGTGCATCAATGTTCTCACTAATGGAGGAAAACCAGTATTTATTTCCTTTCAGTGTTGTCCTTAGTATTACTAACCACTGCTTGTGTAAATCTGTGGATGAAAGGCATCATAAGAGTTCTAAGCTCTTAATATGTATTACTTATTGCACTTTAAAACAAATGTCATCATACTAGGTAGGAATTAAGATTCCTAAGCCCACAGGGTGGGTACCTTTTCATACACGTATATATAAATGTCATCAAGTGACCTGCCTCAGAGGACGGCTGACTGAAGACAGGTGAGTTGGAATTCATTCATAGACTATTCATTCAGAGCCAGAAGCTTTGATTTTGTTTTGATTTAGCATCTTGTCAATATTGTGATTGCTACACTGTTTCTGCCTGGGCCTGTGATGGTTTATGTGATGGGAGGGAAAAAATAAGGCTGATAACTTAGAACTATATAATCAATCAATTTCCTGCATGTGGAAATAGCTACAGTGTGTAGCTTTCAATGGGGCCATGTATGGATTTGCCATTGAATTCACAGGTATTGGATCAAGCTATATTGATCTGGGCTAATAATCAGGGCTAGCGGTAAAGCTCCAACTGAGCTACTGCATGTACCCAGCTCTGGCCGTGAGCATTTGTTGGCCTGAATAAGCTGTCTCAGGACGAGTATTTCCAATGACACTGCTGAACTATTTGTGTTTCTGCACCCATGCAGCCTGGTTTGCAGTAGAAATACAGGTTAAAGAGATTAAAATCAGTTACTAAAATATTATTAAAATTACTGTTAAAATTATTATTAAAATTAGTATTAAAATCAGAAAGGGGTTTTCAAGTGTTAACTGCATTGTGTGATGATTGCCTGCAAGACCTGGGGCACGTTTTGTATTCGAAACTCTCTTGGGAACAAATTTTTTGTAAACCACAAAACCTGCTCAGTCTAAATGCATTTAGCAGCAAGGCAAATACAGTCAATGCTTTTTTGCAGTTGATAGCTTTTACCTGGTGACAGTTTTGAATTCTATTAACAAGCACAATGAATGCATTGATTAGTAAAGTAATTATCTGCCACTAGTATCGCAGATCACAGAATCACATAAATTATCACAGAAGTATTATTTCATCAGATGGATGCTGGAGCTGCCTCGCATACCTTAGCAGAGAATTAAGGGTCATATTGCTTCATTTTTGAAAACATGTTTTTCCAAAAGCCAAGCAAAAAATCTCATTGCCTTTCAAACAGACAGACTAAAGATGTGTGCACTCTAGCACGTTAGACTTCAAACAGTTATTTAAAGCAAAAGTACCTCACCTGCTCATCCTAAGGACAAGCTATGGGTGTTCTCATGCTAGGGGAGGAGCCATGTGAGCAAGCAATGAGAAGTGACAGGGGCTAAAAAAATCCCTGCTGGCCCAGGCTGCTGACAGGGACCTCCCTGCTCCCAGGCTCCCCAGGCACGGCCTTTCCCTCTCAATGTGGTGGTGTAATGGCACATGAGATGGAGGAGACATTCAATGGCAGGAGAAGCCTGTACCCCCAGACAAGGAGGAAATAAGGATCAGATAAGGATCATCACTTGCTTCTCCTCCCACCACCACTTTCTGAAGCTGGTGGCTGCATCCCGTGCTGGGGGTGAGGGGAAGGACATACTGCAGAGGGGGTGTCTTCACTCTCCAGCCTATCTTCACCTGTCTGGGAGCTTTTGGCATGCAGACTTTGCTACAGGGATGTTGAAAATGAGCACCAATTCATTCACTTTCTGCAAACCACTGTGTTTCCAGGTCTCCTGGAGCAGCTGAGGAGAGCCATCGCCATGATTCCTACACTGCTCTTGCTGGGCCTTACGGCCCTTGTTGGTGAGCCAGGGTTTGGGTTCGGGTTGCTGTCAAAAACACCCAGGAACTGTTTGCAGAGGGACTGCAGAGAGGAGGTGTACATTCAGGCCTGAGGTCCCCTTTCTGCACGGCGCTGTAAAACCCCATGTGGCTGATGGTCCTTGGCTGCTCTATGCGGCTACTCGCTGTCCACGTGCATCCCAGACCAGCATGTCTGGAGTACGGGACTGACACCAAAAGGGAATCACAGACGTACCTTCTCTTGATTTTACCATCTAACCTTCTCTGATCCCCGCCTGCCCAGAAATGATCTCACCAATGTGGCAAGCTCTTTGATGCAGGCTGCTCATTCCTCTGGAACTGAGGAAGCAGAGTAATTTGCCCAGGCTGAGGCAAGCACTCTCCTGTATTAATTCCTTACCAAGTTACAGATGGTCATAGAAGATGCTCCCAGCCAGGGTGCTCGGGTACCACCAGCTATCACCCGAGGGGTCCCAGATAATTTTGGGCATTGGATGGGGAGCACCCCCTGAAATAACTGCAGAGGCTGTGGTTCCCCTCTCCCACACCAGCCTTTGGATCTAACAAGGCAGATGCCTATTCATCTAAATTGTCATTAGTTTCATTCATTTCAACCTATGCAATTAGAAAAGAACAAATTTCTGTTCTCTACCTTTCTTTGATAATGTTAGTAATGGAGAGCAGTGACAACCACACAAGCATGGCCAACACAAGGTGATGTGCATTACTGGTCTGCATGAGTCCCTGAGTATGGACCTGCAGCACACTGTATCGCCCTGAGATCGTATGCGTTTAAACACCTGTATTTAATTTTTCAGCTCCATCCATGAGTTACAGTTGCTATGGCGATATAAGTGCTCTTCAAGCCCCACTGGTCCCCTGTACAGCTGTAAGAGCCTCGGATTGTGGTAGGTATCATTTATTGTTTGATTTGTCAACCTGTTTGTACCTTACAGAGAGATGCTTTGTCTGCTGCCAAATTAAATGTGTTGCAGCTACTCAATTAGCCAAAGGAGAGAAAGCAACACCTCCTCTCCCAAAATGTCAGGTGCTGTGAAGCCCCCAGACCTGGTGGGAAGTGGGAGGACAAATTTCAGGTCCCATAGTCAGGATCCTCAGCTGCTAAGCAAAGGGAAAAGGTGCAACCCCTTTTCAGTTAAAATGGTTTCTTCATCGGCCAGGACTTTAGCATCTCCACAAAACCCCAGAGCCTGTCTGCTCGAAGGGGAAGATGCGCAGAGCCAGGCCCTGAGTGCTGGCATGTCAGCTCAGCTAGCTGGAGGCACAGTTTGCAGGAGGAAGGTCCCACGTGCACAGCTGTCCTACCTCTGGATGACCCTTTTCTGGTAACTCCTTCCTATTTCCCTCATTCTTGTCTTGTGTTACTGCCCCATCATTACAAAGCTGACTACATCAGGTTCATACTGCTGAGATCTCCAGGGACTTTGCCACATACAGTGGGTGTAGGCAGCTCCAGGGCAGACACCTGACTGCGGGTGTCAAGTATGGATCTGAACCTGCTTGCTTGTTTCCAAACTGTTCCAAAATTACCTTTGAGAAAACCCCACCTGGACAGTCAGTCAGCCAGCCTCACAGTCTTTTCAAATGCATTTTGAATTGCACTTTTCTGACTCCAGAGCCACATTTCCAGCCGTGCGGCAGCAGGAGTAGCCCATGAATGTGCAGTCCCACCTCCTGAGAAGCTGCCCTCTTCCCCTCATCATCCTTGGGTACTGGCACAGCAGTTCTCTGTCCACAGCCAGAGTCAACACTTGTTCCTCAAGCGCCACTACCCAACTTGGCGTAGCCGTGTTTACTTGAGCACTTGAGTTACTCCTTTGAAACACCACTCAAAGGTGAAGCGAGGGTTTTGGACAGGAGGGTGTGTGAGTCTGCCCTTTCCTAACCCGCAGGACTTGCCCTGGTACGGAGCTCTGCCGAGGCAGACATCATACGCCTGAGGAAATACGAGATCCCAATTAAGAGAGTAGCCAGAAACCTGTGCTTGGAGCCAGCGCTCATCGCTGGCATCATCTCGCAGGAAAGCCGCGTCGGTCTGCTCCTGGACAACGGCTGGGACCAGGAACGGCACAAGTACGGCTTGATGCAGGTACGTGGGGATGATGAGTATGAGTATGAGTAACAGAACAGTAACGTAGTATTTATCCCAGGGCCTTACCTTAGTAAATGACTGTTCTGTGTTCAGGATACCACTTAAATTTGTTCCTTCTACATCAAAGGTTGTGCGTAAGTGTTGCCCTGAGGAAGGTCACTTCAATGAGTCACAGCCTGGGATTACAAAGAAGACAGGGAAGATGATAGAGCTGTGGTTGTGTTCAGAGGAAAACCCATTTTCTTGCTTGACTTTTCTAGCTTGGTGTGCATCAACAGCCTTTTGGACTGTGGGATAGTGAAGAACACATAAATCAGTGCTCAACTATCCTGGTTCTTTCAATTAATGAAGTAAGGGCAAGACATCCTACCTGGACCTGGGACCAGCAGCTGAGAGGTATGTGAGGGGCTATGTACTAGAAAGCAATACGCTGAGTAATGGGTGCGCTGTGCATTTGCTGGTGGGGAAAAGAGCATCACTCTAGCAGATTTTACAGCATCTCTTGCCAAAACAAACAGGCAAACAAACAAAAAACCCCACACCAAACTGGAGTTTTCTAGTTGAAAAGAGGCAATCCCAAGGCAACAGACCAGCAAGAGGTCTGAATACAGATGCAGCCTCCCAGCTCAAAGCGCTGTCCACAGAGCCTCCATGTTTCTGCCTACAGAAGGGAGACTGTGGTGAGACACCAAACTCCTTGGCAGCTTTACTGTAGTAGAAAGCAGCATGAAACAAGCCCAGCCTTGGAGCTAAATTTTCCTCTTCTCTGTTCATCGTACAAGTGAAATAGCTGTCAGGTGGACAAATAAGGTGCAAAGCAACCAAACAAAAGCCACTGGGGAAGGCAGAAATTGAGGTATCACAATGTAACTGATTGCGGCATGCTGTTAAACTGTGTGAAGGAAGCTTGGCATCCGGGTTTGCTTGCAGTCCATGTTATCTGTGCGCTGGTTTGTTCACCCTGCGCTATTTCCTACTCTGCCATCCTTGTTCTGCCACTACCTTTTTTGATTACACCCTTTTCTAGGACCACTATGCCATTCCCACTTTCATTTGGAGAGAGTCATGGGTTCCTTCACTATAGAAATAAGAATTTTACAAAACCAGTCGCTTTTCAACCATAAAGCAGAATGAGCGATTTCCCAAGCAGTTGTGCTGGCTTGGTGAGATGCGTGGCCCTTTTAGCTAGGAATTTTTACCTTTAGATCTTTGTTTCTTACTTATAAGCCTGTAACAACAACTTATTAACTTTTTCTAGGGGGAATCTGCACCTACCGTGCAAAAATGGGCAACTTCCAGGTCTACGAGGATGACCCCTGTGACAGAGACAGCTACTACGTCAACAGTGTGATTCGACGAGCCCAGTACTTTAAGAGACATGGGTTCTAGCTCATAAACCCACACCACCACCGAGCCTCTCCTCCACATAGACTAGCCCAGTAGTGATCGTAGTACCCAGAGCAGCTCCTCAGGTCCCCTGGCAGGACCAATGCTGGTGGCAACGGCTCAGCACTGCCTCCTAGGGGACCTGCTGGGACAAGACACCACAAGCTCGGGTCTTTGAAAGCAGATAGGGACAGCCCAGCAATGTTTAGGTGTCAGGTGAGGAAGGTGCCTCTTCCCATTTGAAGCTGAACCCAGAGCTGTTTGTGCATCCCCCAACCATGGGCACACAAGCACCTCTCTCTGTGCATTGTCTGTGTTCTGCCCATCTCCTTTATCCGCCTCCTTCCCTCTCCCTGGCCAATGTGGGGATGAAGCCCCTGAGTTAAACTCATCCTTCCCCTTGATTGTGCTGGCTGCAGGGCAATGAAGAGACTTCTCGCCAAGCCTTTGGTCTCTGCACTAGCTGTCCATGCCTGTGGCCAGCCTTGTGCAGAACAACGCTAAACATGCTTCTGTTTGTCACTCGAGCCCTGGAGCCCACAGGCATGGTGGGGCTGGGGACTCCTTCACGGTGAAAAGCAGCCTCATGCGGGAAAGGCTGTATGGGAAGTACTCCAAGAGCCGTAGCACGCACACAAAACAGCTTTCCATTAGTCAGCAGCCCTGTGAGTGGGAGCCAGACCTGTACGTACCCAAGCCCAGGGGCTGTATCAAAACAAGAGTGTTGGTAAAAAAAACCCACAACCTTTCCTGCTTTAGCTTTTGCATCTTTATGCTGGGTTTCCTTCAAGTTTAAAAGTGTTTCAGTACCTGTCCCTCTGTCAGGAATCCAAACTTCTAATTTGAAGTGAATTATCTCTGGGTTTGTAAGTTCTCTTTGAAAGTGTTCTTCAGTGTGGATGGGTCTGGGTGGAAATTAAGGTTTACTGAGAATAATACTGAGAATAAGAGAGAAAATAAAGATAAATGTTGAATCCAAATACTTTCTTTTCCCATGGGGCCCAGTGCTCAGCAACCTGCAACTTGAATAATAACCCAATTCATTACTCTTAAAATGGGTCTAAAACTCAATCTGAGAACAGGAAGAGGGAAATGGTGCTGCAGCCACTCAGGGGTGGATGAGAAGAGCTGGACTGGCGACCAGGGTGGGAGGCAGGACAATCCTGGCCACTGCCTCCAAACCTGTGAACAGGGAATAAGGATGTTCATGTTTAGCCTTTTGAATAAGGATTTTGGAAGTGCTGAGACACTTTTCTGCTGGCTGTCACCATTGTTGATACAGAAGTGACATGTCTTGTGGACCCCTGTGTTGAGTACTTCAAAGAACTTTCAGGGTAATGAAGCAACATTACTGGGAGCGACCAACATGTAAAAATAGCTGCATGTTATGCTGCTGTAGAGAGGGGAAATGCAATTGGTGTTCTTTAAGGACTCTTACAGGCTAACATTGCTGTGTCAGAGTCAGTAATCAGCAAATCAAAAAGACAGCAAATTCCAGTCAGGGGAGAAAAATCTTCTCTGGGTCCTGTGCTTTGGTTTTACAACCAATGTTAGTACTGGGAAATGTGTTTAAATGTGTTTCCTACAATAACCAGCAAATGTGAGGTGGGAAGCTTTCTCTGTCATCAACCTCATAAGCTGCAGGTGGTATGGGCCAGTCCCTCCACAGCTCAGGCAGGGATCTGTCTGAAGTCTGGAGCTTCAATGACTGACTGTCATAGACACCAGGCAGAGAGAGCAAGTAAAAAACCTGTTACAGCAGTAACTGAAGCAGTAGGAAACCACTGCCAAGAACAAGTCCCCATGGGCCAGAGCTGTAACTACATGGCTGAGCAGATTGATCTGATGACTGACTCTGAACACTGGAGTTAGATCAGTTTGAGCCTCACATCCATGTCTCTCCAAAAGATGAAGAAAACAAAGGGCAATGCCACCATAATAATGCAGTGCTGAATAATTGAGCTTGTTCTGCTTTGTTACTCATTGAAAAAGTGGGCTGCGATTTCCTAGCCAGCAACCTGTTCCCAGGACAGAGTTTCTCTGTGGTTGCCTTAAGCACGCTCAGGACCGCACCCCAAAATGCTAGGCTCATCCTAGGAGGGGGCAAGAGTTTTTCTTCTTGAGTTGTGGCATCTTCTATTGTGGACTTCTACCATGGTATTTTTGAACATCATCCAGGATGCTTGGCAGGCTCCTTTGGTTTGGGTCTGCTACTTTTTGCTGGAGACTGTTGAATCTAATGCTTGTCTCACTTTATTTAATTGATTTCCTTGAAACTAAATGCTCCCATGCTGGATGCACATGGCCTGTTTTTTCCTATTTCAGTGTAAAAAGTGGTCCTAGAATCACAGAACCACAGTATGGTTTGGGTTGGAAGGGACCTTAAAGATCATCTATGGTCAATGGCAGAACTGCACTCTGACAGGCTTTCTGTAGCCTTTCTAAAAGACGAAGAAAAAGTAAGATGAGCTGGATTTGAATTGGAGGTTGCTGAATACCTCAACTAACAGTGAGTACAAGACAAATCCAGGACATAAACCATGATTTGGGGCAGTTTTGAGGCTGCCCAAAACCTCAAAACTGCCTGTACCCCTGACATAGCAGGAGAGACTGCAATGCTGCGTGGCTTGCATACTGCCTCCTCCATGGCAAGCGACTGATGGGACAAGTAAGAGATGCTGCAAAGAGCACTGACAAAAGTCACAGCATGTTCTCTGTCTCTGGAGACCCAAGCCTACAGCAGCTCTGGAGCTTTTGCTGAAGCCTGCGAGCTGCAGCCTGCTTGATGCCGCACGGGTTGTCCTACTATGTGGACGTGCCATTCTCCCCTAGTACTCTGAATACCGGTTTGTTGAGGAAAACAATTCCCTGGGCATGTAGACTCCATGCATGCATATATGGTTAAACAAGAATTTCTGGGTAGGATCCAGAACAGAACAGATCTACCTGCCTGTGTCAATTAATGTGATGTAGAAGAAGCAAACTAGTACCTCCTTTCCGATTCTCCCCAGCAATAAGGGAATGGTAGCACAGGCCACTTGGAGATTACTGGTTTGTGAATCATCTTCAGTGGCATTTTGAATTTTCTTTTTCTTTTTTTTTTTAATGTCATTTCTGTATAAGCCATCCCTGTTCTATTTTCCTTCCTGCCAGACGTACTTCCCCCTGTTTCAACATTCTTTAAAGTCACGTGTAATCATGGACATCCATGCATGGGCTGATGTGACTTTTTGCAGCTGGCTCTCGATGGGAGGTTTTAACTGTGCAGGCAAAACTTACAGAATTGAATCTTTCAACACAATGGCACAGGATTCCCCAGCTTGGAATGTGAAAGAGCTGATGTAAGAGTGACGCAGCATTTCACCCTCACAGGATTTACCATGGGGAAGAAGCATGTAAGGATAGATTAGCACTGACATGGAGGTTTGCCATCCAGTGGCTACTTTCCTTACTGCTGAAGAGCTACAGTAGCTTTGACCCACGTTGCTTGGTAATTTGGATTTGTGCCTACACTTTTGTCATTGCTGTACAAGCAGGGATAACAATAGGGACCTGGCATAGTCTCTGCATATCCAAATTCTCAGCACTGCCATTTTATTGTTGCTGGGTCTTCACCTGCAAAAACTTTATTACAGCCAAAAGTGCAGGTCCCCACTTTCCCATTGTCAGCATGTTGTTGCTTCCAACAGCTGAAAGCGGGCAGTTGTTTTCAGGCAAGGCTCACCCTAGGTCCACACTGATAACAACAAGGTTTCAAATTAAATTAAAAGGTATTCAATTTTTAAAATTGTAATTGTGTTTGTGCTGTATAGCAGAAACCCTGTTGTGCTTGGGAGAATGCACAGCACGTTGTCAGGCATTCCTGTTTCCCATAATACCTGTGGCATGTGGGAAATGCACTGGGCCAGCTGCTCCAAAATGCTGCCAGCAGAGAAAAAGCCCATTTGTTTCCCGGAAGTGCAGTGAGATGGGTGAAATCATCCTGCAGCAAATATGTCAAGCCTGTGATGTTTGCCTAACATTCTTGTAAATGATTCACTATACCAAAGTCTGTTTTCCATTAGCTGCTGGGATCAGGTTAGCATTGTTCCTCTCAGATGCTGTTTGCTTGTTTGCCTTCTGCGTCAGTGTGCTTAGACAACAGAAAAATGCAGATAAATGGCAAGTCAAACAAATTGCAAGTCAGATGAACTGTAATGGATGTAATTGAAGGATGTTTCTCTTTTGATTTTTCTTGTTGATGGTAGCTATGGACAAGCAAGTTGGAGCCAGGAAGTAGTGTATATTTCTTCTGACTCTCTCAGATACTGTTTTCTTCTGGTAACAGAAACCCCAGCTTTTGGAGGTACCTTTCTCCATTGGCTACGCAGGCAGTGACAGAGAAGATTGCAGAAAAGGATCTGGAAGACATGGAAGAACACCAAGTCAAGATTACAAAATTTGGCAACAGCCAGCGTGTTGATCCAGCTGTGACTGGTTGCTGGTATTATCTTTCAAGAGTCACCCACTGGGAAAGTGCTTAAGGATGCCTGGGATGACCACAGAAATGCATCTGGTTTAATGCAAGTATGATCAACCTTCCTATAAACACAAAATGCATCCTTCTTCTGCAGCAGAAGGACAGAAGAGCAGCAGTGGCCTCGCTGAAAGGCAGTCCCTGAACATTTCAGCCAACCCTTTGGCCAGAACAAAGCTGTCTCCGCTGTCAGCTCCCTGCACTGGGGAAGGACCCTGGTGAGTGTCAGGACATAAGCAAGCTGCTTTTGCTCTGTGAAACAGCTGCTTGCTTCCCATTGCTCTCTTGGGAATGAAGAGATTAATTGCTTCTATTTTATACTTTAGGCAAAAAATCTTGTTTCAAAAAGATTTTTTTCTTTTTTTTTAACTAAGCACAGGGGCCTGTAGGCTGCAGCTACATATAGTCAGGTTAATTACCCCTTATGCACCACAGGGGCTGGCTAGTGAAGGATCGTGCGTCATTATTCATGCCTACATTCACGCCTCACTTGTTTGCCAAGTTGTGTGCTTACCCGTACAACCGCTAACCATTTGCTGTATGCATTGGGATCCAATTTTTAACAGCTCCAGCCCCCTAAGGCTTGCACTTCACTACCCCATGGATAAGAAGTACAGAAGAAAGAAGAAAGAAGAAGGAGAAGGAGAAGGAGAAGAAGAAGTGGAAGAACCGAGGCAGAGATCCAGGGGAGCTCCACTAGAGAAGAAAGAGGGGGTTTTGTTTATTTGTTTTAAATATGGTGCATTTCTTACAGCCAGCATTTTTACCTGTGATTAAAAATATCCTGATATTATTATTATTGGCATTGATCTACTTACACTACAGTATTAACTACTAAATCTGAAAGAGTCGGTGAACCTGCAGCAGAGCAATAGCACAGAAATAGAAATTTATTCTTAAGCCAGCCCATTTCCACATTGCTACCACATGTTGCACCAGGATTTGTTTGAATATAAATACTACAGCAGGCAGACATGGCAAATAGCTCCTACCCAAGAAGCACGCTCAATATAAGCAAGCTGTGTGCCCAAGCAGCAAAGGGTACCATGGGCTCTATGGACAGCACAGCTTGACCAAGGGAAGAGATTACACACCTCTGCTAAGCACTTGTTAGACCACATTTACAGTAGTGTCGTTTTGGGTCCCCTAACACAGGAGAGACCAATTAAAGTAGAGAGAACTCAGTGGAGAGCCACCAAGATGGCTGGGGCTGGAGCAATCACCCCATGAGAAGGGACAGGTGGATTTAACAGCAGCACCACAGCACCTACCTGTGAGGGATAATTGAGGAGAACAGAGCCAGGATGGCTCCTCTCAGTAGTCCAAGATGGGAAGAGAAGTGACAACAGGCATAAGCTGAAAGAAGAGACATTTGGACTGCATACAAGACTGTATTCTGCCTATAACTTTTCCCCATGAGGACAGCCAGGCAGCAAAGCAGGCTGGCCAGGGAGGTTGAGCTGTCCCTGTCCTCAGAGGTTTTCAAGACCTCGGTGGACAAAGTCCTGAGCAACCTTTCTAACCCTAACCATTCTATATTCTATGATGTTATGACCTCAGTGCTGGCCCTGCATTGAGCAGGAGGTTGGACTAGAGCCTTGCGAGGTACCTTCCAACCTGAATTTTGCTATCATCCTAAGTCAGCCTGTTTGCTCCCTGCACAAAAAGGCTGCATCTCTTACCAGTGCTTCATGAAGATTTATATGAAACATTTACAATGCTCCATTAATGAAAGGCTGTGGACACACACACTGTGTTTGTGCACCCTGCTGGTTCAGGTTGTAGAACTGAGCGCAAATCTTTACAGAATGTATGCTTATTCAGAGAAGGTTTGAGATAGCAGCTTGACTATGTGACAGTTGTGACCTTGGAGGAAATACCATTTAAGGAACTCCCACACTAACACATAGATTAAACATTTCAAGAAAATACAATTTTATTTTTCATTAAAACTGCCAACTTGTCAAAGATAGTTGTAAACACCTCTTGTAAACACCTCTTGTAAACACCAGAAATAACAGGTACTATCTAAAGCATTCTCTTCTCTGTACTTGGGAAACAGTTACTAACTGTGCTCTAAGGTAGTTTATCACACACTTTCTAAGTTGCGCACAGTACCAAGGAAGCTCGTTCATTAACACATTCTCTTTGGTTTACACTGCAGTACTTTTGTAGCACCTGCATAGTGTAATGAATAGAATAGACTGACTCATACACATACTGTGTATGACAGAACTGGCAGCGCTCCCTCTGTTGGCTGCAGTGCCTCAGACAAATCCTGAACGTGCTTGGCAAAGCTGAGCCATCCTGGCTTTAGTGCTCTGGGCCACCAGTCTTGGTGCAAGTCTTATATTTGCTATCCCTCAGTAACAAGACCCATTTAAGTAATTTTCTGGGCCCTAGTACTTGTGCCATCTCTTTTAAGCTGCCCTGTACCTTGGATGCCCTGCACTCACAATTTCAGCTTGTAACAAGTACCTCCCTGTAGGAACACCATCACAGGGATCAACATCACACAGAGACTGCAGTTATAACACACTGCAGCACATGATGCTATGCAGGTTCAGGAAGGCAGGAAGGCAACATCAATTTATCTGCTTCATTCGTTCCTTGCTATTCTGGGTACATCAGACCAACACCAGTATTTTCTGTGTCCTTCCAAGTATAGCCTGTAGCTTGCTGAGAAACGGAGGTTTTTCAGCTCAGTTGTGCATTTCTGCCTTCAGCCTGCCTACAGGAATCACTGACCCACGAATCTCCTCAGTGCTACTACTATATCCTATCCTCTTTTCTTTTCTGCACAGTGTCTCCAGCTTTTATGTCCCTCTACCGATGTCTGTTCCTTTGAACTCCTACCGGTGTTTACTCTTCTCTGGAAGCATGCAGAAAGGGTAAATGTTCATTTTCAGTGACTGTATCCTTCTAATCTTCTCATAACATACAGTCATTAAGATTAACTTCTCTACATTGCGTGTAGGGTGGGAGAGGCTCACACTGTGTTAAACTATGGCATTCATGCTCACTGCAATGAACACTGCTTTATCATTTGATACAGCAGCAGCTTCCTAACTTTGGTCACGATTCTCAGAACTATAAACAAAAATAAGAAGAGTAATACTCAAGATACTTCAGTAAAAGGTGTTATAAGCTTGCAGCCCATCATTACTAACTTGCACTGAAGATGTGTGCTTCAGGGTCTCCAGGTTTCTAATGTCTGCAATTTTAGAACAGGAAAAGCATCAACTTATACACAGACTGCAACACTTAGGCTATTATTATTAAACAGTCAGGATCAAGAAATATATATAAAGTGAGATAGCACGTTCCCTGAAAAACAAATTATACAAGTTACCATGATACGAATCACTTCTTCTGTTAATCCTAAATGGGGAGTTCAGGTATTTTTAAGCTACAGAGACAGCCAGATGACAGACTGTTTGCTAAGGAACAAGCAATCCAAAAGGGTAGATGGGCCAGACTGGATGAGGCTTTGAGCAGCCTGGTCTAGTGGAAGGTGTCCCTGACTGTGGCAGGGGATTGGAACCAGATGATCTTCAAGGTCCTTTCCAACCCAATCCATTCTGTAATTCTATGAAAAGCCTGTGTCAATCAAATGACACTCTTGGTGGATAGCCAGTCAGTTCTTGTGTAACTGCTAAGCAGTGAGCTTTTCAATTCCAGTTTCTTCCTTTGTGCACCAAAGTCATGCACTGTCATTGTAAACCTGTTACTGTTAGCTCAAAATATCCTCATCATCATTAGTTAGATGTATTCTACTTACTTCTGTGACTATTTACAAAGTTCTTTAATAGCAAGCCATCAACTGCACACATTTAGCCACAAAATTTAAACACAAGGACACAGGCCTATCATTCATTTAATATTTGGGGCAAATAATAACATTTGTACACACTTCTTTAAGCATCAGTATCACCTTCACCATTCATACCAGAGGGGAAGAATTAAGCTTACATTTCATACACAAAATCTTAACGCAGGATTTAAATAATCTACTTTATTTTACATAAATCCAACCAGCACAGCTTATGACTTAATTGCTTTCTGCTCCACAGGTTTCAAATGCCGTTTAATGACAAGCTCTCCCTTGCTTGTAAGAAAGGTGTCTGTCATTTCCTCTTCTGTTGGCAACCCGTAAGGTAGTTTCAGGGGCTGTATTCTACAGGCAAAAGAGTTTGCTTAGTGAAGTTCTGTGACTAGAATAGTTACGTTAAACGCTCTAAATTAAGCAAATAGTTAACAAACCTTATCAAGTGTTTAACAACTTTCAGTTTGGAATTCACAGAAGGGATATTTTTGTGCAGTATCGGCTGATGTGCCTGTATGAAGGATAGAATGGGTTTTACAAATGCATTGCCAAACCCCAAATCTCTGATCACTCAACTTCTCATACTGACAGTAAAATTATAGACCACACTTGCAAACATAGTAAGTAAAAAATGTCATGCATCAAGAACATAAATAAAGTATGAAAACTTGATCAAATTCTATTACAGTAAAATGATAAATTCAGCTTCACTCCCATTATATTCTCAATCTATTGAAATTTCCTCCAACTGTTAAAAGTATTGTAAATACAGTAATGTATTTACATTAAACGTAATGTAAATACAGGAGTTCAGGGGTACGACTGCTTCAGTTAGATCTTAAACTGACCAAGCACACATTTGTTTTTTTCTGTAATGTAACACTGACTAGACAAATCTTTGCACAATGTGCAGTTGCTCTAAAAAATCTGGATAAAGACGTCTTTGACATAAGCTTTCTAAGAGTCTTGGATTCAGAAGGCTTTTCATTAATATACAAGTCTTATTCATGTACCTGTAATATTTGAACAATATGACCTAGAGAAAACTGAATTACAAGTACTTACAAATCTACTTTTATCATTTTAGCAGAAGTCTAAAGGTAAAGTTCACCTTAGGCATGCAGAGCAATACCAAACAGTGATTCTCTGAATTCCTGCGAAAAGGCTATTTTCCATTAACATTCTTCTTGGCTCTCAAACACATCATCAGTTTCTCAATTACCTTTATAGCCACTGTAAAGCAATCCACATTTTATAACTCCAAAATTAAGAAAAATTTAAGAAAACACCACCTTAATTCTAGCCTATTTCTACATTTCTGATATACACAATAAGTATAAAGAACAACAGTCATACTTTATCCAATCCAAGATCATGTATTATCTTCTTTTCCCAGTAAGGGCGACCAATCACACTTTTAATTCTAGTAACAACATGGATCTTGTGGGGCTGCTCAGGGTCACCTCCATACTTCTCATGATCTCCAGGTCGCGGCTGAAATACCTAGAATCAGAAGTTCACAAAACCATGTTTAACTACCTTTCTTCTCAAAAGGTCAGAACACCAACAAGTGACCTCAGATTTAGCTTTTATAGCATCAAGTGCCTGGTGTCACTCTCCTAGGTGCAGAATCCTGCATTTCGACTCATTCAGTTTCATGCCACTGATGATTGCCCAGTGCTCCAGTCTATCCAGATCGCTCTGCAAGGCCTCTTATCCCTCAAGAGTCAACTGCACCTCCCACTTTGGTATCAGTGACAAACTTGCCAATGGTGCATTCAACTCCTGCATTCACATCCGTGACAAAAACTTTGAACAGAACTGGCCCTAGAATTGAACCCTGAGGAACGTGGCTGGGGACCGGTTCACCAGCCCCATTCACTGCAACCCTTTGGGCTCTGCCTTCAGCCAGTTCTTCAATCATCCCAATACAAACTCTCTTGTCCCACAGCCTCTGGAAATCTGTCATACCACAGAAAACACAAATTAAGCAGGCTAATACCTATTTTTCAGTCTCTCGAAGACTTAAGCACGTACCGAGTCTGGAATTCTCGACCTGGTAAAGATACAACGAACCCACGCTGCAGGTGCCACTGCCCCCATCCTCTTCCCCAGCAACTGTAAAGAGAACAGGACAAAACTTGTCTGCGCTTTCCTTACAGCTCTTCGTGTTTGCTAAAACGTTACACGGTCACTCAAACTCGGCCCGGCTGAGCACACGTCCCGTCTTTACTACACTTCTAGGTGGCTGAAGAGCAGAGAGTGCTCACACCGGGAGCCCACACCGGGAGCCCACACCGGCTCCTCGGACTTTCCAGCTGCCTCTCCCCCGTCAAGAGGAGGCACGAACCAAACAACCCCCAGCCCAGACTACTACCTTCCAAGCGGCTGCGGGCCCCAGGCCCCCCATGCCCGCCGCGGCCGCCATTCCGGTGCGCTGCCTTCCGGCCGGCCACCAACCCCACAGCACTTCAGTTCCGCACTGGCGGAACGGCAACAATGAGCACTTCCCCCTTCCCTCTACTGCCGCTTCGGTTTCTGTTTCCCCAGCGGCTGGTGAAGCGGTGCCTCGGGAAGTGTGGCCGCCCCGTCCCGGTCCCCGCCGCGGCGCCCATGTCGCGGACAGGGGGCAATAGCACTGCCGTGCTGGAGCGGGCCGGGGCGGAGACGGTGAAGCGGGCTGTAGAGCTGGACGTAGCGTCTCGGTTCCAGGAGTCGCTAGTGTGTTACCAGGAGGGCATCGACCTGCTGCTGCAGGTGGTGAAAGGTACCGAGCGGGGAGGTTTGGCGGCCGTTTGCCACAGCCGTTGAGGCGGTTAATTGTTAAACACCCCCCGGTTCTGCGAGAGGGGTGGTTTGGCGGAGAAATGAGGTCTGTCTGGTGCTGAGGGCCGGCCCCGAACCCTCGTCTCCTCATGGGGAGGGAGAGAACTTTTGATTGTGCTTTTGATTGACAGCCACGAAAGATGAGGCCAAAAAGCACCGATACCGGCAGAAAATATCCGAGTATATGACCAGAGCTGAGGACATTAAGAAACACATTGAAAAAGAGAAACAAGGTACGGAGCTGCCATGTACCTGTAAACATTTGAATACGTGTTGTTTACGTGAGGTAAGTAACATGGGAACTACGTCCTGCTCTTTACTGAAAAAAGAGAGTTCTTTTCCTTTCAGATGGCAAATACCATAAGCAGATCAGGATAGAGGAAAATGCAACAGGTTTCAGCTATGAAAAGGTTTTCCAAGAGTACCTTTCTGAGATTGTTTCTGAAGTTTGGGTGGAGGACCCATACATTCGGAGTGTTCATCAGGCAAGTACATACTCGGTGTAATTGATACGGATGTAACTGCTAAAACAATTCCAAGTTACTAAATTAAATAAAACTTTTTTTTGCAGTTGTATAACTTCCTGCGGTTCTGCGAGATGCTAGTTAAGGGGCCATGCAAAGTGAAAACGATCCACCTCCTCACTTCCTATGATGAAGTAAGTGTATAAGTTCTGGTTTCTATTTCCCAGTACCCAGGTGATAACACATGCGAATATGCACACAAACAAATATATATGTATATTAAATACTTATTTTTAAATACAGATTTTTGTATCACTTACTTGTACTTGTTAGACTGAGGCTCTGATGCCTTCAGCAGAAAACACAAATTAAGAGAAAAATAAAAATATGATAATTGAACATAAGTAATTTCATAAATTTAGAGTTTTCTTATAACTAACAATTTCTTGGTAAGCAGAATCTTAAATGGAAAAGATATTTTCTTGAAAGCTTTCTTGTGGAAAAGGTCATCAAGACTAAAGCATCTATTGAGATATGGGCTTTTTTCTCTTCCAACAGCTAGTTGTATATAGTTGTCAATTTAGAGGCTTTGATGAGCTAAAACCTCGCAAACTATCACTGTATTTATTCTGGCTCAAATAGTAATTCATATCTAGTTTCAAAGGTCTGAGAATGAGCTCTTCCTCTACATATCTTGGCAAATGTACCGATAATCTGTTTCTGCTTTTTATGCTGCCTTTGAAACTGCTAATCTGCCTTCATCCAAGTTACTTTCTTTTGGTTTAAGTTATTACTAAAAAACTTTCGGTGAGTTTAGGAAGAGGTGACCAGAAGTAGAATTTATGGTTAAAAAAAACCCCAACAACATGTCATTTTTACTTTTAACAGGGTAGTGGGAAGAGTCAGCAGATAACAGGCTTGGATGAAATACAACAATCATTGAGGAATTATGGAGTAATGCTGAATATTGCATTTTCATCTTCAATCCATGATCGAGAAATTAGGTGGGTGATATAAAAAAATTAGTGAATGAGAGTTATTTGAACTGTTTAATCCTAACTTTTGAGACAATTTCTAATTACAGCTGTGGTTAAAGGAGTAGAAGGCAGTGGCCCTTTCTGAACAAAATCAGCCCTCGATAGTTTCACATGTTCTAACTGTGAACATAATAGTAGATTTCTCTTTATACAAAACAGTCCTTTCCATGGTTTATACAGGTATTGGTGATACTAGGAAATAATTGTGATTGAAACAAGGAGAGTGTGCATCGTGTGGATATAACTTTTTTTTATTCAACATACTCATAGTATTCAAATTTGTGAATTTTTAAAACAGGTTCAACAATGGATGGATGATTAAAATTGGAAGGGGTCTTGATTATTTTAAGAGGCCACAGGTAAGAATGATTTGATCTCTTTAATTAACTTATACTGTAGAAGAGCTCATTTTATGTTCACTGTGTCCATTCTGTTAATTTCCACAGGGTCGTTTCAGCATTGGATACTGTGATTTTGACTTGCGACCTTGTCATGAAACAACAGTGGATGTCTTTCATACTAAACATACAAAGAAAATGTGATCAGATACAACTTCTTCTAATGAGTGTTTTTACAAGCATAAAAATGTAACATTGGAAGATGCTGCTTGATTCCAGCTCTCCACCCTCAGAAGGAACTCTTCTAAGTACTTAGTCCAGCACAGCTTTTATGATCTGTAGGTTTTAAGAATATTTGAGATTTTTCAGCCTGAGAAAACACAGCTATACATTTCCTTCACTGTGCTTCTCCCATAATCTTAAGTAATATAAGCCATGTCTAAATTTGATCTTGATTTTGTAACAGACCCTCAATAGTGCCTGTCAAAGGCATCTTTACTGTCTTGAGCAAATTTTGTTTTTAATATCTTTAATTGAACACCTCACAAACATTTGAAGCTGGACTGCCACATGTCCTCTTTTATAAGCAGCCTTATTTATTTCCTTTAATTTCTGTATTCTAGTCATGACTACTGTTCTGCTGTGTTTTGGTTAATCCTGTAATATCTGATTTGAGACTTTACCAGCAAACCCAAATCTAACATTCCATTTTCCAAGCTCCTTGCATACAAACACTGTACTATTCAGTATATGGACATTTTGGGGGCTTCTTATGTGCCTCTGCATGATTTTGGGCTGGAAAGTATGCAAACAGCTGTATTCTTTTCCTTGTCACTCCTGTGTGTTCTTTTATTCTGCGATGCATGGTCATATACCTGATTTCCATACTTTGTGCACTAGGTGTGGAAAGGGTGTATGATCCTCTCCCAGTCTTTTTCCCTGACTTGCAAGTTTAATGTTCTTCCAGCTGGTCATGTCAGTCTCAGCTGCAGTAAGCTACTTTTCTGCTACTAAGATAAGTCCTTTAAAAAGTAATAATTTGGTTTTTTAATTCTTCCAGAAGTTGGATACCCTGAAGTTTTCTTGCTAATAATGATTTTAAGGATTATGCTAATAGGAAAAAAAAAAAGTCTTTTCTTGTATTTCTTTCACCCTTTGGAAACCACAAGGTATACTGAGCTGCTGCTGCTTTGTTTTTATACAAGAGTTCTTGATCATTTTCATCAAGTATCTGGCAAAGACATATATTCTGACATGAAGAACAGGCAGTGCAGTTCCCACCAAAATCTTTTCCGCTTCAGGACTGACAGGTGCCTTACACTTTCTGCATCTTGTAATACAGTATGCCTCTATATTCTAGCATGTTCATTGCTAGAACTTCTCTCTCCTCTGTTTATTTTTCCTAATGGCTGCTGTATTCTGTTATCTTTTTATTTTTTACATTTTCTTTATTATTATTTCACCTTCTGTCATCTAAAGCTGCTATTCCTTTACGCTTGCCTCTAACACAAGTCTATTCCACAGCTATCAAGAAGAATCAGAGCTGGTCTTTGCCTTGTTCTGTGGGTCACAGTATGGCAGTGGTCTGTCTTATCCTTTTGCATAATAATGTCTGCTTTTCAAAATAACATATAAAAAAAGAGTAACATACATGCCACAGAAGCTGTACGCTACCAGTCTACCTACCCCTCAAACATTCCATAGGAACTCTCTGGCTTGCTGCTGTGGTACTAGGTTTCTAGTCACTGTTGTTGATTTTATTCAGTTGTGTATAATATATGTTTATATTTAATGGGAATAAAGGTTATTTTTTACTATTTGTAGTTACAGTCATCTGTTTGAATTCTTCTCTGATCTATTTATTTACATATATATATATATAATTTTGTAGGTAATTCAAGGAAGATAGGTAATGCCTTAAAGACCAGCCATGTTTTGGAGAATGTTTGCTGCGAATACACTAAGCTTCCCAAATGTGAAGCTTTGTATCTTTTAACATAGCCCAGCAATTTCAAACGTACAGGGGCAAAATAAAAAGCCACCTTAAATATTGTAGATCAACTTTAAAGTTTAGTACTTATTTGGAAATAAAACTAAAATATTTATACTTCTGGCATCTGCACTGGAACACCTCTCCTGTGATGACAGGCTAAGGGAGTTGGGCTTGTTCAGCCTGGAAAAGAGAAGGCTCCGGCAGGACCTTAAAGCAGCCTTTCAGTGCCTAAAGGTGGCCAACAAGAAAGCTCGAGAGTGACTTTTTACAAGGGCATGTAGTGACAGGGCAAGGGGGAATGACTTTGAACTGACAGAAGGTAGATTTAGGTTAGATATAAGGAAGTTCTTCACTCAGAGTGGTGAGGCACTGGCACAGGTTGCCCCGAGAAGCTGTGGCTGCCCCATCCCTGGCAGTGTTCAAGGCCAAGTTGGATGGGGCTTTGAGCAACCTCATCTGGTGGAAGGTGTCTCTGCCTATGGCAAGGGTGTTGGAACTAGACGGGTTTTAGTGCTCCTTCCAACCTAAACCATTCTGTGATTCTATGATTCTGTGATCTTGTAATATAGTATGTCTCTGTTCTAGTAGGAATCCCCTGCGATGTGGTCCTCTACAAATACCACAAAAGGCAAGCATTTTCTTCCCTCTCTTGCCTTTTCATTGCTAGAACTTTTTTCTAATCAGGCTGTAATCTACTAGCTAAGACTACAGCTTTCCTTGCAGATCCAATGGATATGCAGTATCTGTCCATACATAAAGTAAGCCTTCAGTGATACATCAGTTGGTGCTGCACTGGAATTTTTACATATAAGCTCTTTATCACTGAATGGTTCCTTT